CCCCCCCCCCCCCCCCCCCGCTCCCCGAAAACGTCGTCGACATGCAATAGGAAAACAAGGTGGAAGCGGGAGTCAGGCTGGCTTGCCGTGCTACGATCTGTATTAGGTATGTTGCCCTGGTGCTGCCGATTTCTCTGTGATATTTCGATTATTTCCTGCAGACACCTGTCTTTCTAGGCTGAGAACTGTCGATTCGATGGCTGGCTCGGAACGGCGACGTCAGTGCGAAGTGTCAGTTCAGTCCGATGGGGATGGAGCTTCTGTTGTTGACATCCATTCCCTGATCGCAGCATTAGCCTAAGGTGCATGATGCATGGCTTGCTGCCTAAAGATGCGTTCTCGGCCACGAAATGCCTTTCCAGAAGTCGCAGCCCCCACGCCCAACAAGACAGGGTCGTTCTGTACGCGCCCTCTGGTGTTGGAGGCTCGAACTCCTTCTTGGCCGATCTGGCACGCTCTCCGCCGGCTCTGGCTATGAAAGAGAAGGCCCAAAAGGCCAGGCTAGCGAAGGTGTCGTGTTTCAGGCAGCGGGCTTCACAAATCGACTTCTGACAGCTATCGTAGGCTATCGTGCATATTTGCCTCTCTAAGCTTTGTTCAGTAGAAGTTGATATCCTTCGGCTAATACGATCAAACGACCGAGAACGAAGAAGCTTGGCCTGGCCCCAAACTTATCTCGGACACATAGCTGGCTAGCGTTGTTTGCGTCATTATGGGCTGTGTAGAGGTTCTAGGTTCGCAAGACGGTGTGCAATTTGCCGCTTAGGCGATCCTTGCCAGCACCCAAGCCAGCATGGATGAGGCCTGCATGCGTGGGTATTCGGTGGGATCATGTGGGATCCTTAGCAAAGCTGTTGGATTCATCGCTTCTTCGCATCATGTGCCTGCCTCACTTCGCAGTGGTTGACATGCATTGTTCGTCGTTTTGTGTTTTGCAACCAACATAGGCATAAGTTGTTTTTGGCATCAGCATCGATGGTGGTACCAGAGAGATTGGCAAGTTTTTCGGTGCAGGTTGAACCTGCTTTCGCGGCTGTGCAGAGCAGACTACTGCACATTTTTGTTGTTCACTCGGTCTCAGGCGGTTCCTAACCGCGCTTGTTCGCTACTGCGGGTCGGAGTCAGTGTTGAGGTGAGCACCAATTGGCAAGAGCTACCGTGGTCCACCCACATCCCTCCGAAACATCCTTGCCAGCACAGCCATGGATTTGTGTAGGTCGCACCCGTTGGCTAAGGTGCTGCTACGGCAGGGGAGTATGGTGTGCGATGCAAAGCAAGGAGCCCTGAACTGCCACATGCCAAGAGCGCCGAAAGCTTTTTGTTGCGGAAGCACTGTTCCGCAACCTACGTAGACAAAACGACCCCCGGGCGAAATCTACTGCGAAGCCGCAGGTGCCTAGTTGTGAATTTCTTCGCAATGCGGAGCCACTTATTTACAACTTCATAGGCCGCGTCTGGTGTAGGGACTCTGCCAAAAAAAGTTGCCCCCCACCCGTATCTGCCCTTGAGCTAACGACACTTCGGCCCCAAAGTATAGCTTCCCACAATCCTCAGCAGTCCTGGGAGTGTTGGCCAACCGGAGGCCTGCATTCCAGAGTGCGCCCTGGAGAACCATCATGAGTTCTTTGAGGCGATCATGAATGTGCCCTTGTGGACTTCAGGGATTTCGGGCTTCAATTTCGGACTTCGGGGTTTCGCGTGCCAGCCGTCCTCTGAGAGGTGTTGTTGGGGTCGTTGTAATGTTCGCGCTGATGCCGTCGCTGCTGCAGTTGCTGCTACAGCCACAGGTACGGCTACTGCTGCTCCTACCGCTACTGCTGCTTACTGCCACTAGTGCTGCTCCTGCTGCTGCTGCTGCGACTACTACTACTACTACTACTACTACTACTAATGGTAATAATACTACTACCACCACCACTACCGCCACGCGCCGCCACCACCACCACCGCCACCACCACCACCACCACGACGACGACGACGACTGCTGCTGCTGCTGCTACTACTACTACTACTACTACTTCTACTTCTACTTCTACTACTACGACGACGACTACTGCTGCTGCTGCTGCTACTACTACTACTACTACTACGACTACTACTGCTATAATGCTACTACTACTGCTACTATTGCTACACTACTACTGCTGACCTTGTTCTTGGGCTTACGTCTCCCAGGCCTGTTACCAGTTAAGACACCGCAGTGCTGTCGACGGTGTGCCAAGTGGGTGACACAAAACTGTTACTGTTACCACTACGTACTACTACTCGTAGCTGTACTCACTTACAATACTTGTGAATTGCTTGCCATTAGACCAGCAATGCTCCGGTTTTATCATACGAGCAAGCTTAGAGAACAGCAACCGCTATTCAACACGTTTAGCCCAGCTTGGACACCTTTATGAATGGCCCCGCGCTGCACAGGCCTTTGCCGGATGCTATGCTCCTTCTGTGTGCGCAGCATCGAGAATGGGGGAAGTGAGTTTTCACCGATGCAGGACAGCAGTGCTTGTTTGCTTCGGATACAGCAGTATTCGGTTTGATTGGGCGCCTAAGAGTTTAGTTTGGATTTGCTGTCAAGTTCACTCGTTTGGGAGTGAGTGTAAGGCTTGGAGATCGAGTGCTTTACGCTCTCAGGTTGTGGGTTCGTGAGTCCTGGAGTCTCAGGCTAGGGGGTTTCAGGTTTCACACTGTGATGTCTTCATCCCAATGGCAAGCATTCAGGGAGCCCCAACATCTTGGCCACGCAGCTTTCAGGGTGCAAACGGCCGTAATTTGTCTTGACTCCTAAGTCTCGTAGAGGTCCTATGTGACGCCAGTCGTATCCCTTGAGGGAGGGAGCCAGGAGTCGTTAAACCGGGCTTGCAGGCCTCCCCCTAACTCTTTCAGCAGGGTCTTATTGGTAGATCCCCCCTTCCACACTTTATCACGCGCAGTTGGAGAGCGCTCATACCTTGCCTTACCTCTTGCTTTGTGCGGTCTGCAGTTTTCGCAGTGTCTGCCGAAGTGGAACTGCTTTCCATACCCCATCCCAGAACCTGATGTATCAGCAAGGTCTTCATGCGGTGGAAGTCGTAGACCCAAGACGCTTTTGCAGGAGCTCCCTTCAGACGTTCATTCTTAACGAGATGAAGTACGAGGCGTATTTTGTTCAGACTTTCTGCTGGGATGCTTTGGCTTTCATACCAAGAGCTTGAACAGACTGTGACTACGAGCCCAGTGCTCATCAGCAGTTTCGAAAGCTATGTTTGGGTCATTTCGTACTTCAGGTCTCCGTGAACCTCATGACCCCAAGACACCCCTTCGAATTCATCTTCTAGGCGTTTGAGACCCTACAACTCCAGCGTAGTTGCCGCAGACTCTCCACAAAAGGGCCCGGAGGCCCACTCCGAGTTGGCAGGCTTCGCAGTGGTGCCAGAAGGATGAGAACGGCATCTATTGTCAGCAGCATCATGCTGAGCTGATGATTCAGAGCCCGCTGCACCCCGACGGAATACCGTGCCGGGAGATTTGCAATACTTTTGCATTATTCGGGGAAATTGCAGGCGTCAGTGCAAGGCAAGACTATATTACCTGTTGTACCGAATGTCCCTGGGGTAGGCGCATGCTCAGCCGGGTTACAGAGGCATTGGTGTGAATGGGGGGAGGTGCTACAGCCTCTATACCGCGCCTGTGCTGGAGATGGGCCGCGACCTTTGCTCCGACCACACGGAGTGTGTCCGAGGCGGGAGTCGGGCCGCATCCAAACAGGCTTGAGGTCCTCGAGGCGCTTTGTGGCATTTTGTCGCCTTCAGGTTGGAAGCAAGCGGAGGAGCATCCCATTTGCAGCTCCCAGATGACGGAAATCGGCCGATCCCGCGGCGAAGGCATGATGCACATGTTGCACCAGATCTGGGGAGCGAGAATCAACACTCCGTCGGGCGCGTCGTCATACTATGATGCCTGCATCCACCCGGCTTCGCAGCACAAGCCCAACTTTATTGTTTGAGCCTGAGACAGACCCCGAACGGGTTGTCACTCCCAGGAGAAAGCTTACTTAGTTTAGACATCTCGACATCCGCAGCTTCAGACGCTCGTCGAATGCAAACCTTGACGACATACTACCACTACGACTATTACTATGACTACTACTAAGTTACTACTACCACTACTGCTACAATTACTACTACTACTA